GGATTCCCTTCTCCTTCTTGGGTTATTTTGGAGACGTTAATTTAATTTTGTCTTCACAAGGAAGGGCAGAACATTCTTCCTTCACAAGGTACATGCTCCCTGCTTTGCATAAGCTGCTATTACCAACTATTATACAAATTACTTAAGCTGCAGCTATTAGGCTAAAAATACAAGATGATCCTCGCTATAATGATAAAAGAGCAAGGAAAATATCTCTAGGGCATCAGACAGTCGCATGAAAGGAAAGCTTTACAACTCTATTTTCCACTGCTTCTCCAACTAATGCTCATAATTAAGTAAAAAGGGGGGAAGTCTTTTTGCTCTGCAGTTCTCTTTCTCTCTCCCATTAAACTATTCCATTAATCAAGTTGCTTTTAAAGTCAAACTACAACAAACAGCCTCCTCTAGGAAACACGTGACCCATTACTAGTCCTTGAGTTAACTACACTTCACACACTCATCAACCGGCAAGCGGCGTGTAGTCATGTTTGAGGCCAAGTTGTGCCTACGTTTACGTAAGCCTCGGTCCTCGTGCTGATGGATACTGGGGAAGAGTAGATGCAACCCCAGACCTAGATGCATGAGGAGCAAGAGGTCTTATTGGGGATAGTTATGCCCTTTTAGGCCATTCCGGCAGCATAAAAAAGTAACTGCGCCATTGTGTGCGACTAAATTTCAACATGAGAGCGGTATAAACTCATCTTCACATCCAGAGGAGCCAAGCATCCCTACACTCACCGGGAACTCAAGACAGACACACAATTTCCTCCAGTAAATTATTCCCCTTGGGCCTCCCTCTCACAGCTGATGCAACTACAACCAGCACTTGATGCGTAAGTCAGGGTTCCCAGTCTCGCCCACTGAATAATCTGCCACAAAACTCTGATTTTATCAGGAATGTGAAATGGTTCTTCTCACTTCCAGGCCGCAGGTGAGTGACTAAACTGGCCAGGAACTGATCTATCAATATTTCTCTCTCTGGTGAAAAAGAAAAAGCACTTTCAGTTCACTTCCAAAGGTCTGACACCGTGTTATTGTGAATGTTCCGTGATTTAATTAATAGAGGTCACATTGCTGCTGCAGCCCAGTGAGAAGTGACCATCATCCTGACTCCAACTGTCCCAAGATGGTCTTGAGGGCTGGTGTCTCTGACCATCGCCACCTCACTTCACTCTTAACCTGACAAGTGGTGGTGTCCATAAGAATCATAGAATCATGTTTTGGGTTGGAAGGGACCTTTAGAGGTCATCTTGTCCAACCCCGCTGCAGGGAGCAGGGACACCGTTAACTAGATCTGGTTGCTCAGAGCCCTGTCCAAACTGGTCTTGAGCTCAGGTGGAAGGTGGCTTTCCTCCACTGGCCCTTGCCTGAACTCCTAAGACTTCAGGAAGCTGTGTTGGCTGCAGGACCACGTCCCATCCCACCTTGGCACCAAGCTCTCACTCCCAACTCTATATTTTTATTGAAGAAAGTAATGGCCAACACTATTATGCCCATTCCCAAGCAGCTAGATAACGAGATCATCAACGGGGGAAAAGATTTCCACAAGGCACCATTGGCACCGCTGCCTTTTCTCCTTATCAAGTTGTACGTGGTTTTCTTCATTTTCTACCCATCACCACAGTTTCTTCTCAGTGGCAGCCATTTTTCCAAGACCTCCCCTAGACCTGTTGCTGCATGGCTTTGGGACCTGCAAAATATGAAAATTAATGATTTTCTTCTCCCCGGCTCCTGGTTTTCTTTGATAGTTTGGGTGAAAGAGAGAGTGAAGAGCAGTAAGAGGTGAGGATGCACAGCACACGGCCTTGGGAAACCTTAAAGCCTTAAACCTTGCTCTTCAACACCAGGGAAGGGAAGGGAAGGGAAGGGAAGGGAAGGGAAGGGAAGGGAAGGGAAGGGTGTGACTGGACTTAGTTGACATGAAAAAGAAAAATAAGCTTAAAAGTCCCCGCAATTTCACTCGCTATTACTTGCCAGTAAAGAAAATGAATTGATTTTTGAAATACTAACAAAAAAACCCCCAAACTGGAATTAGTCCGACACCTTTTCTGAGCACGAGCATGTTGCTTCTCTTTATGTTTTGTTATTTTTCTCTTCCAGCCCTGATCACTGGTAAGACGGAAACCGCAAGCCTACCTCTCCAGAGCTTCCCAATATCACGTAGGATTTTTTTGCTTCAGGATTTTATTTCATCTCTCCAGGCACCACTCCCACCTCTCGATTGCGGGAGATAACATTCGGAAAGACTCAGGGGCTTGCTGGAGTACGTCTGACTGTTCCGCCTTCCTAAAGCAAGTTCTGCCCTGTTAAAAAATAAATAATAATAATAATGAGGACTGAATTAACAGTTTCTCCAATTATTCTGGCGTGTTACTCTTAAGAATGGGACCAGCAGTACAATGCATGCAGCAATAATACCTTAAACGCTCACTTGATTGGAATCGCTGGCACAAGCCGTGTTTGCAATTACTTTCCCCGAGTGTTACTTAAATACCGAAGCCACAATATGCCACCACCAGACCCCCAACCTTGCTTTCTGAAAGAAAAATTAAACCAGCTTCCATTGAGAGGGAAGATTATCACTGCAAAATCCCATTTAAAGACAATTTCGCCTGCTCTAGGGTTGACGCATGAGCCTGTAAATCCTTTCTGACCGCTTCAGGGCAGCATTAGAGAAAAATTCCAATGCACAACTGAATTTATTTTGAGCAGCACATCTGATAATCAAGACAAACTCCATGATATGGCAAATAAAACCCACGAGAGTCAGTAAAAACGGCGCTGCCCATGCAGGAACCCAGGCTATTTCTTCCACCAGCTTTAAAGCAGCAACTCAGATCAGTAAGGGGATAAGGTGCTTCTATCTGGAGCGTGTCCAGAGGAGAGCAACGGAGCTGGGGAGGGGTCTGGAGCCCAAGTCTTGCAAGGAGCGGCTGGGAGAGCTGGGAGTGTTCAGCCTGGAGAAGAGGAGGCTGAGGGGAGACCTCATCGCCCTCTCCAACTGCCTGAGAGGAGGCTTTAACGAGGTGGGGCTCAGCCTCTTCTCCCTAGTAATGGGCGATAGGACGAGGGGAAACGGCCTCAAGTTGTGCCAGGGCAGGGTGAGGTTGGCCATGGGGAACAATTCCTTCCCCTTGGGGCTGTCAGGCACTGGAAGGGGCTGCCCAAGGAAGTGGTCGAGTCCCCAGCCCTGGGGGGATTTAAGAGCCGGGCAGAGGTGGTGCTGAGGGCCAGGGTTTGGTGGTGGGATGGCAGGGGTAGGTTAACGGTTGGACTTGATGATCTTAAAGGTCTTTTCCAACCTAGACGATTCTATGATTCTGTGATTCTATCTTGACCAACGTTGTTTGCAACAGGACACTCTGCAGAGGTGACGGAGGCAAGCAACCCTGGCGCGTTACGAAAAATCCCTGGCTTTTTTTTTTTGTAGGCATGCAGCAGAGCCTGATGCTTCAAGACTCGGCCTTAACCATCGCACTCTCCGGGGAGAAGTGTTAGATGAGTTTCCACTTCTCAGATATTTCACTGCAGCAGCACAGAACTCCCAAACATCGTGTCTGCTGCTTCCCCTGCTCCCTTTGAAATAAAACCTCGCTGCCAGCCATGATGCACTAACTTTCACCGGGTCCTTCGAGGCCACTGCAGCATGGAGAGGTGTCAGGCATTTTCACGACTTACCATGTTGAACACCTGCCCAAAGTCACCTCCCATACATGTCCAGGTTTGGAGAATAACTTAACGGGGGTGGAGAATTTAAATATTAATGTTAGGGACATAAATGCTGCTCGTAAACATGCTACTGCCTTCCTTTATTACAGCCTGGGGAAAATAAACCCGTTAATGGTGGCAACAGCTCAGGTATTTTGGAGTGTGCTCATAGTCAACAGCAGCCTGGATGAACATTAAGGAGCAGCCGTTGGCAACGAGCCACAAGCTGCGCGATCCTGTACCGGTTTAGTTTCTGTTAAAGAATCTTAAGTCACCGGGTATGATTTTATGACGAAGGGCAAGCCATACAAAATTCAGGCAAGCGGTCAACCGGAGCAGGCAGCACGTAGCAACACAAGCAGCAAATAGCCCGGCTGGCTTTCAAGGGAATTAAAAACCTCAACTTGATGGGAAAAGTGCCTTAGCTGCTGGCCAGGGTCAACCCACAACTTGTTATTGCCTTTCGACAACAAAAGGCCAGAGAACTTCGTCCCGTTGCATGGAGAAGTGTTATTCATCATGTATAGGATTTCAGTGCTGCATACTGGGCTGTAAGCAACAATACAAGATTAATCTTGATGTTGCCCATGCAGGTGGAAGCGGCTGGGTTGGGCACTTTGGGAATTTAATAAGGAAAAGTTCAGTCAACCCCGCTGTTGAATTATTTCACGACTTTAGAAGAGTGTTAACTAGGAAAATCCCAGCTGTGAAACGAGAAATTCCTGCCAATGTGACTGCAGATGTTTGCTTTGCTACCTACAGATTACATAGGCATCGGCGGATGAGCACAAAGATGTGACGTGCTGTGTTCGAGCAAACGCATTAGGAAAATGAAGTCAGTTTGCCAATAGCAGGCAAAATTTTAAAAAATGGGTTAAGCTGGGGCTTTCTTTTGTCTTCACTTTCTGGATTTCAAGTGTTTGGAATAGGCCAGGCTGGACAAGCCTTTAAGTGTCGATTATTATTTCAGCAATCAAGAGCCACAGGAAGATCATAGAATCGTCTAGGATGGAAAAGACCTTTAAGATCATCAAGTCCAACCATTCCCCTAACCCTGCCATCCCACCACTAAACCCTGTCCCTAAGCACCTCATCTCTCCTTCTTTTAATTACCTCCAGGGATGGGGACTCGACCACTTCCCTGGGCAGCCCATTCCAGAGCCTGACAGCCCTTTCTGTAAAGAAATTTTTCCTAATGTCCCACCTAAACCTGCCCTGTCATAACTTCAGACCATTTCCCCTCGTCCTATCATCCGTTACTAGGGAGAAGAGGCCGACCCCCACCTCATGACAGCCTCCTCTCAGGCAGTTGTAGAGGGCGATCAGGTCTCCCCTCAGCCTCTTCTTCTCCAGACTAAACAACCCCAGGTCCCTCAGCCACTCCTCGTAAGACTTGGGCTCCAGACCCCTCACCAGCTTTGTGGCTCTCCTCTGGACATGATCCATCAAGGCAACATCTTTCTTGTAGTGAGGGGCCCAAAACTGAACACAAGATGAAGCGGGGAGTAAGATACAGAGTATTCACCGTTAGTTCCCAGTCTCCTTGGGTGGAGATATACCTTCTGGTAGCCAGACCAAGGCCAGAACGCAAGTGAAGACGAGTGTTTCATTAGCAGACTTGCCCAGGCCTTCTCCACCTCCAATACCTGCGTTCCTCCTTCTGTTAATTTCTCTTCTGCAATATTAAACACATCGGGTCGCACGGTCGCAGTGAAAAGCCAACCGCGGCATGCTTAGTTGTGCTTGCACATACTGCTCGGCAAATTAAATTGAGGGGGATTAATTCAACTGGATTCAATAGTGCTGACAAAGTCAGGCACGTTCTGCTCCTCCCGTCTTCTTGACATCTTTGCCGTTATCTTGGTGCTGGTTACACGGTAAAAGCCGTTGTAATCAAGCAACAGGGGCGAACAAACCAGACCCTACAAATGAGTTTCGAGACGGAGACATCATAGACTGAAGGCTCATTTGCCGAAAGCGGTACTCATCTACCTCAGATATCGCTCAGATGAGTCTAAGAGACTTAATGTGATTTCTAGAGCAAAACCAAAGCCTAATCTTTCCCCAGCAGGTGGTTCCCCCCCTGTCCCAGCAATACACAGAGCTGCAATGAAGAGGAAACACCCAGTAAAAAAAGAAATAAATCTGCAGCAATGCTGGCGCACAGCTCAAATGCTTCCAGGTGAAAGAAAAAAACTGGGCGTCCCAATGAGCCAACTTGAGGGTGAAAGCGGTTGGTCTTCTCAGGAGACCCCACTGCCACTACCAGCTCTACATAACCCCCTGGCAAACCAATCCAGGCCTCATCTCACCCCCACCAACCTGTTTTCAAAGCCTTTGGTCCATACTAGACCCTCTTTACCTACATCACCACCAGCAACAGCTTCTCTAGAAGTGGCTCAGACTAAGAGGATCACACGTGCCTGCAGAGATTTCGCCAGTTTGGTCTTCATAGGGCGTTGCTTTCCCTTCTGGTCAATACCCCAGTTCCCTACAAAGAAACACAGCGGAGGGGAAATAAAACTCAAAGGTTGGATGTAGAAGCAGTTCTCCATTAATCTCAGCATCCCCAGGAAGAAGCAGCCTCAGTGCAATGAAAGAGTGGTGGCAAGCGAGATCAATGGACTTCGTGTACCTACCTTCTCTCCTTTCAATAAAAAAAATTTAAAAAAAAAAAAAAAGAGAGGAAAAAAAAGGGTCATTCAGAGGTTGACATGGTAACCGGCTGCAATGTGGTACGCGTACGGCACTTCACAAAGGGACAGCCCCCGTTGAGGCCAATATATGCTGAAGTCCGCAATGCAGCCCCCGCGCTCCAAGCGGAGGCTGCGTACAGCAGGACGGCATTAACTTGGAATGCCGTGAAAGTTGAGTTTATTTATTTATTTAAGCCCAAGACAAGTCCCGGTGTTTTTATTGTAATAACTTATACCGCAAATATATATATTTTTATATATATATAAAAAGAATAGAAAATACCAGACCAAAAGAATGGAAAATATAACAAAGCTCAATATGAGAGAAACTAAATCTGCGACAAACAAAACAAAACAAAAAAATAAAGACAGAGAAGAACAAAACCAGAGCATCCTAATGACGTGCAACAGGTTGGAGAGAGTGCGAGCAAAGACTATGGAGAAGGTTAAAACAACGTGAACAATTTGGGGGGTTGGGGGGGGGAACTGAAGCGGTCAGCCTGCCTTAGCGGTCTTGCGGCATCAGCACAAGATTAGCAGAGGAGGAGGTGTCCCGATCCAATGTCGGGGAGGTTTCGATACGAGCCCAAGGATGAGATTAAGACGCTAAATCCGGTCAAGTGTTGTACAACCTTTCAACTTTATTTCCACTGTGGAGGGAGGAGGGAACCATGTGAGGAGGCAACCGAGGGGGAGAATGGGGAAGGGCACGGTTCTTTACAGGGGGCCAGGTCTCAGGCGTAAAAGCTGCCTCCCAGGAGGTGTTTGCATCTACTTAGCCATATTCCTAACTTGGAGGAAACATCTCTACTCTGGTTAGTTATTTCGTTTGCTGAGGAGACCTCTGACGGTGATGCCAACAAGTAGAGGAGGCCTTTGGAAGAAAATACCCCAGTGCTACCTGAGGAGCAGGAACGATTCCAGGAACCATTTGAGGAACCATTGGAGGAACCATTTGAGGAACCATTTCAGGCAGGCATCGCTTCAGCAGCTCTTTGGGACCCTCAGAGTTGACTGGAAAGCAGTCATTGGGTTGGGTCTGGAGACCAGTCCACATCACAAGTTAATTCCACCAGGAGTGACTCACTGGAGAGGAAAGGAAGAGGCTCAAGAGATCACGAACAAGGGAGGGCACTCACTGCTGACATTTATTTCTCAATGAGGATAATACTGAGCTCAGCCCTGGCAGCAAGGCTTCATTAGCTCGTTGCAAAACAACCCAAGATCCTCCACAGAAGGTACAAAGTTATCTTTTCTTATGGTTTCAATGGTCACCTGGTTATTTCTTCCAATATACAGAGAAGATTTTCTAACGTCTTCTTGGAAACCAGCAACGAAGAAAAATCACTGGCTACAGAAGAGACTCCTCTAGACCAGCAGAGAAGTTGAATTATGAGGCTGAGATGACAACAGTCCACGTTTCTAAGAGCGATTAAAAGAAAAGCTTAGCATGGAATTGACATCTTGAACTAGTCCCGCACCAACCCCTGCTGCCTCCTTTGGGGGAATAAAACACCAGGGTCAGCAGAGAATTCCCCTCGTCTGAAAGCAGAGAGGCTTGACTGGCACCAGGAGACGTGGATGTGGTCAGAAAGGAGACATTCAAGAGGACCAAAAGATATTCCTTGACCTCCTTACATTCGTAACACATACATACAATCTCTTTAGTAAGGCCAGCTGTGACAGGCCAAGGGGTGATGGCTTTAAACTAAAGGAAGGGAGATTTAGATGGGATATGGTGTCTGAGAGCTGATGCTGGTCCTGGGGGTGACCGTGGCTGGCGTGCGGCGGGGGGGGGGGGGGGGGGGGGCCCATCCCTGGGAACATTCAAGGCCAGGTTGGACAGGGCTGTGAGCATCCTGATCTGGTTCAAGGTGTCCCTGCTCCCTGCAGGGGGGTTGGGCGAGGTGACCTCTAGGGGTCCCTTCCACCCCAAAACATCCTATGATTCTATGATAAAGAGCCACCCAAGGAAGAAGAGGAGTAGGGAATGCTTGGCAACCGAGTCATCCAACATCATTCTGTCTTGGTAATACAGCAGAAAGATCCCAGGACTGCAGGTAAGCAAGGATTAAGCGGGAACAAAGGGAAGTCAGATAAGGGGCAGATGACAAGATTAGGGTGTGGGCAGGCTCTTTAGAAAAAAAAAAAAAATCCAAACCCCTCAGACTCTCGCTCTGGCACGCAAGCCTGTAACATTTAAAGGCTGCCGGAGCCTAAGCAGAGAACGGTGCTCTGATCCACGATGATTCATAGCATGCGGGAACGGAGATATGATATCCAGCCATCTCTAGAAGGAGGTGTCACAATGCATTTCCAAAAAGCCGCTCTCAGTCTGTTATTAGCTCAAGGAGACAGCCCTGAAGGCATGGCAACAAGTGCTGAAATACAGCGTTTCGCTGAAAAGACTCGCTAACTCTTCTTGCCTGAGCTTCAGAGAGTTACCAGACAATTGGTTATCACAGCGACAGTTCATGCTTGATGGAGAGTGGGCGCCGAGGGGATGAGTTAAGCCTGTTATTCAGACCTGGCTGTTCAATCCAGACAGGCATCAGAAGAGGCGATGGGATAGAATCATAGAATGTTTTGGGTTGGAAGGGACCCCTAGAGGCCATCTCGTCCAACCCCCCCTGCAGGGAGCAGGGACACCGTTAACCAGATCGGGTTGCTCAGAGCCCCCAGCCACTCCTCGTAAGACTTGGGCTCCAGACCCCTCCCCCGCCCTTCTCTGGACATGCCCCAGCCCCCCCAGGTCCTTCGGGGAGGGAGGGGCCCAACCCTGACCCCAGCATTCGAGGGGTGGCCCCACCAGTGCCCAGCACAGGGGCACGGTCCCTGCCCTGCTCCTGCTGGCCACACCACTCCTGATACAAGCCAGGATGCCGCTGGCCCTCTTGGCCACCTGGGCACCCTGCTGGCTCATATTCAGCTGCCTGTCAACCAATACCCCCAGAGTCATCAGTGATGCAAATAAGCTCAGATTGCAGCTCTAAGAAATACGGTTCTTTCCAACTCCAAATGCCTCCAGCCTGCAGCCATGGACAGATAACGTATTTTCTTGATCTTACTCTAGGACAACACAACAACGGGAGAGGGGAAAGAGCTGGCGGCGCTCCCGTCAGACAGCATCTGTAAAACCCAAATCCTGACTCCACCAGCTTCAGAAGAGGTCAGCTTGGCTGAAACAACCACCGACAAGCAATGCAAGGGGCAAAGCCTGACTCCAAAAAAACCAAACGGAGTGTCTCAGAGCAACTGTTTAACTTCACTACCTTCCACTTCCAAGTCAATTCCCCCACCGCAAAAAAGCTGGTTCCCATTCAGAGAAGCTGGCAGCTCATGGCTTGGATGGGCGCACTCTTCGCTGGGTAGAAAACCCGCTGGATGGCTGAGCCCAGAGAGTTGTGGTCAATGGAGTTCAATCATGTTGGCAGCTGGGCACAAGTGGTGTCCTCAGGTCTCAGTTCTAGGGCCGGTCTTGTTTAATGTCTTTATCAATGACCTGGACAAGGGGATTGAGGGCACCCTCAGCCAGTTTGCAGATGACACCAAACTGGGTGGGAGTGTGGATCTGCTGGAGAGTAGGGAGGCTCTGCAGAGGGACCTGGCCAGGATGGATCCATGGGCCCAGGCCAACAAGGCCAAGGGCCGGGTCCTGCGCTGGGGTCACAACAACCCCACGCAACGCTACAGGCGTGGGGAAGCGTGGCTGG